AGGGTATGGCTAGGATATGGAGGTTATCCTATACCACCTAACATCATCGCTGGGGCAGAAGAAGGGAATATCTTCTGACAAGAAGGGTTTCCTTCTGGTCAAGTAAGCATGGCAGGGTGGCCCCACTTCGAGCTGGAGGCAGATGTTGGGTATTGTCTATAGTCGGGGGTTTCCGCAGTGAGCAATAACATTTCTTTTCTTGTACCCTCTGTCATTAGTATTGCTGTTACTATTAATTTTCTTATGTCATTGCTGTTTCCAGTAAATTGGTCTTATAGCAACCCATGATCTTTACCTTTTGTGCCTCCAATTCTCTCCATCCCACCACAGGAGAGAGGGGAGGGAGGGGAGCAAGTGAGCTAGCATGGTTTGGAGAGTCTCTGTGGGAGCACTAAACTGGGGAGTACCATTCCTAAACCACAACAGGTGGACTTGGCACTGCTGGGTTAACTGTTGGAATTTTCCAACCTAAATGATTTGATTTATGAGAACTTTCATACACAGAAACTGAAGCAAAGAGTGATCTCTTTGCTTCAAAGAGATCAAACTTGTCAAATTGGAAAGACTGATGTACTTATGATCAAACTGGAAATCCAAACCAAAACCAAAATACTGCTACCTGCTACTTAGCATCTCACCAGAGGAATTAAAAAGACAACAGAAAACAATTTATACTTTGCACTATGATCTATACTTTTCAAAAGACCAAATATTTTATTTTTGATTTTCAAGACAGTATTGACAGTATCATCATATTCCTAGACAGTACAGGATATATTGTATCACAATCCTCAATATAGTCTTTGGAGCTTCTACTTTTACTGCTTGTGAATTCCAACACCTCTTATTCTGGCCACGTGCTACTAAAGGTTGAATTAATCATTCCATCTTCCTCATAGTGCAGATGGAGAGATAGAGATGGGCAATGAATACATTGGGAAAGTATTCTTCAAATATTCCCTTACTATATTAGATTCCAGGAATGGGAGTGGGGGAGTGAAGAAAAAATGTTGGTAAGATCATTAAGAGTAGTTTAAACTGCATCTTCTCTCTTCACAAAGACAGAGAATGTAATTTCCATATCGCAATCAAGCTCAAGAGCATTCAGCTGAAGGTCACATTCAGATCTGCCTCTTCCAGCCAACAAACTGCTCTGCTGCCACTCAAACAGTCCCCTTTGCTTCCTGTGGCTTCAGGGTGACAGTATTTCCATCAGGTGTAAATAAGTAAGCAGAAACCATGAGTTGGTATATGAAACTTAAAAGGTAATTGAAAGTTTCTGGAGTAGTTCACTTCAGAAAACTGTGCAATCACTTGTGAACTGAAGTGCTTGTTATCATATACAAAGCTTTGGTAATTAGAATCAGGAAGAGAGCTACAAGGTGATTAGAGATTATTGGGAAAAATCTAGTTAACAGGAAACATAGCACATAAACCAATCAGTACTAAAAGTTTCCCTGAGATATCTGCAATTAATTAAAATACAAAATGTTAAAAAGGACATTTCCATGTTATTAAAATTTTTTGAAGCGACTAATGATCAGAAGTCATTACAGCATCCACATTAATGTGAGATTAACCTCAGATACTACTGGCTTAATAAAAACATGCAAAGTAGAATCATAAAATCATAGAATCAGCAGGGTTGAAAGAGATCTCCAAGATATCAAGTCCAACCCTTGATCCACTACCACTGTGGTTGCTACATCCAGTGCCACATCCAGTCTTGTCTTAAAAACCTCCAGGGACGGAGAATCCACCACTTCCCTGGGCAGCCCATTCCAATGTCTGATTACCCTCTCTGTAAAGAAATTCTTTCTAACATCTAACCTAAACCTCCCCTGACACAGTCTCAACATCCCTTCCTCTCCCTCTCTGCCCTACTTCCACATCATTCAAACCAGGCCCTGGTTAGCACATTTATTTCTTCAGCTTGCCTGAGCCTGGTGAAGAGTCTGGACAGCTGCAAAAGCTGTCCAGAGATTATCACTCATATAGGTGCCCATCTACCTCTGAGCATATGGCCCAAAGCAGTGGCCCCAAGGGAGTGGCTCCATGGAACAGCATGTCAACAAGGCAGACACACACAGGGCTGCACAGCCCTAGAAGGTGCTGCCCTGTGCGGGGTGGTGCCTGAGCTTCACACCCCAGCTGCACAGGGCTCTGGGCTGCTTAACCCTCCACTGCCACATGCCACCTCCCAGGGCCACCAACCAGCCTCCAGTAGCAAAAATTCATGATGGAATATAACTCTGTGGGGTTTCTTAGTTTATAATTTTTTAAAGATAGGAGCTGCACTGAAGCCCCCTGAGCCTCTGGACAGAGCTGGATTTTGTACACAGAATTACTTAAAAATTAGTTCTAACTTGGAATGAGAAAGTACAAAGGGCATGTACATGTTTTGCCTTCAAGAGAGATACAACATTTGTTTTCCAAATATGGAATTTTATTCATTTTTCTCTTCTTGGATAACAGGAGCAGGTCAGGGGTTTCAAATGGAGTATGAATGTGTGACTACAGAAAGGTCTTGACTGTACTATATATAATTTCCTAATCCTCTCACGACAGTTCTTTCTTAGGAAAAGACTGATTTCTTTTCAAGCTCCTCTTTCTTAGCACATGCTGAAGTGATCTCATACTCACAGATTTTCTTTCAATTTTCATCTTTCTTGTTCCTCATAAAATTTGCACCAAAGTTTTCACAGGAAAGTAACTGCTTTGCAATAGAGACAGTTAATTGTTTTGAAAGATTATTTTTTTTAAATTAGTTGTTTTTATTCTTCAGGTAAAAACTTATTTTTGAATGAAATTTTATAGGCCATTAATCTAATGCAGATTCATGAAACTCAGGAAATTGGTTAACTTTAAAGAGCAGCTACTGTTCATGCTCTATAATTGCTCTTCATCAGAATTGTCAAAGATTTTTAATATGCAGTTACCACACAAATTAAAAGCTCTTATAGTATGTCTCCATTTAAGAGGCCATCATTCCACAGTGTCATTAGCTGCTATTAATATTTCAATTAGAGAGCATCACACACTCCCCTGAAGAAATGCACAACTACTCACGAAAAAAGTCCCACTATTGATAATGCTCCAGGAGTATGACACAAACATCCTATTTTCATTCCTACATTTAATTATCTTCTATTAATAGCTTGCCAAAATTATAATGGAGATTAGCTCCATTCATAGAGAAACATGCATCTTTGTTGACCAACACCTTCCAAACATCCTGCTTCTGAAAAGGGAGGTGACAGCTGCAGGGACTACACTGCCCTTCTGCACAGCCACATTACAACTTCACTCTTCTACCAGGTATTCAAATGGGCTGATAAATCGTAGTGCACCTTGTCAGTCCTTCTCAGGACATCAGCCAGAACTATCAGAACTTTTCAGGCATCAGTGCTAGCACAGACAGGCTTTACACCTGCTTTTTGTTCCACCTGACCAGATGATTTAGCTCAAATATCATGGCTCTGCAACAGCCAATTTGATGTGAAATATTCTTTCAAGGCACGACTCCCTTCTCTTCTTTGAGGAAAAAAAAAAAAAAAAACAACAAAAAGACCCCCCAAAACTTTTTTTATTATAATAGACCTTATAGTCTCGTTTTCATCATGCCAAGCCGATAATTAACTTCTAGGAAAGCTGACATACCCGGAGCCACCTCTCAAAGGATGGACCTTGCCTAGCCAGGGAACCAGAGACAGGACCGGAGGAAATGGCCTCATGTTGTGCCAGGGAGGTCTAGATTAGATACTAGGAACAATTTCTTCACTGAAATGGTGGTCAGGCATTGGAATAGGATGCCCAGAAAAGTGGTGGAATCACCATAACTGGAAGTGTTCAAAAGACATGTGGATGTGGCACTTGGGAACATGGTTTAGGGGTGAACATGGTGGTGCTGGGTTAATGGTTGGACTTGATGATCTTAGAGGTCCTTTCCAATCTAAACAAATCTATGATTCTAAGTCCACAGACAGCCATTGACTATACACAGCACTTTTATTACACCTCATGTTAAAACAGCAAAAAGTTACACTTATGTTTAATTTCTTCTGGATGCTAAATAATTTAAATCATTTGAATGAAGATTTCTTTTTGAAAACCATAAAGGAATTTAGCAATTTAAATATATCAGGGGGAGGAAAAAAAGAGCTTGAGGAATAAAAGCCCAAGAGCTTGCACTGGCTTGTTTGGCAGCTCTCCTCTCTTTCTAATATTTCTCTCTCTAGGGCTTTCTCCATGAATATACAAGGAATTTCAAACACATGCCTTATACTGTGCACTGACTTTTAGGTGATTTGAGGTATTCCAGCCTTACATCTCCATCAAAACCCTGTAACACATGGTGTAAATCGCCAGCCCACTCACACTCAGTCCTCCAGTGGGGCTTTGCCACCAGTTAGGACCTCTCTCAGAAAAAAATCTCGGTGATGCAGAAGGTAAAAGGTGCACAGCTTCTTGCAGAGAGAGAAAAGCGAGCCCCTCCCAACTCTGTAAGCTGCACCAGCAGCTACTGCAGCCCTTACATCAGCATTTCTTCTGTTATTGCATTTGAAGCTTTGCAACTTTCCATACAGAAAATCCATCAGTGCTGAGGGTTACATCACCTTCATTTTGGCCACAGTACTACCTCCCTCCCAAGGTGCACTAGGACATCTAGCCACCATGTCTGTATTGTCATGCAGTATGTGACCGGCTCTGCTATACCGGCAAAAGCACACACTCTGCTCCAGATGCAGTTACCAGGATCCCCTGTTTTGCCTGGGGAAACAGAAAACATTCTTTTACTGAATAAATTGTCCAGTGAGTGCTGCCCTGGTACCTTTGCAGGGGAGTGCTTTGCCCAGCATGGCAGTACACCAGCACAGCCAGCCCCAGGCAGGTTTACCCCGGAGAAGACAAGTGGTCAAGCTAAAAAACAGTAGTTGCAGTTGAACCCGAGGCAGATGGGAGTGCTGTCAATACAAAGAGGGACATCTAGAAAAACTCACCAGGATCATACCACCTACACTCCTGTGACAGCAGTGGTGTTTCTCCGGGGAGCACGGGCACTTTGCCAGCCCTCTGTTTACCCAGCTCTTTTGCTATTGTGCACATCAGGGACTGGGAAGGAAGAAGAGGTCTCAGTATCTCACCCTCTAAACTGGGACTAGCCAAGCCAGAGGAGCATGCTGCAAAGCCATTTTGACACAGACCCCGATGCCCAAGGAACAGATCATGCCTGCAGAGAGGTTGCTAGCAGAACAGCCACACCAGCCACACGGTGCCCACTGAGCCACCATGGTGGCTCCCAGCCTTAGTCCCTGTCACCACAGCCCTCATGCCGGCTGTCAGACTGCACGTGTAAAGATGACTTTGTCCTTTACAGCCAAGAGTGGCAGCTCTCACTTGTGTCTCACTAGAATATGAATAGCAATAATGGGTAAGCATTGAGAAAAAAAATTAAATCACTCTAAAAATGGAGATGAAAGAGATGGATAGAAGATATGCTTAACAGCAAAAATCCCATAACAGGTCATTACATTAGTGCATAAACAAGTACGCTGATATGCCACTGTAAAATAACCCTAACAGGGCCATACTCACGCCAAAATCCAGGCCTCAATGTTGCCCACCTATTTTATTGTTTTACACCCTCTTCCTTGTATCTTCAAATATCTCTTTCCTCCTTGGAATGCTGGATGATTACACATAATGACTTTAACAGATTGACTGCAAAAAAGAACCCATGAGAAACAACAGGAAGAAGACATGTCTACAACGAAGTGCAAAGAACTCTGCTAGTGCCTACTAGGCACTACTAATGGCAGCATCTGCAGCTCTCAAAACTTGCTTCTGACTCAAATTAGTTGCTCTTTAAATATCTGTATCATATAATTAGGAAGTACAGCATCATCGAGAGAACATTTCTTGACCTTTTTCCTACTAATTTTCAGCAGACTATTTAATGTTAAAATCATACACCATGCAATGCAGCAACTCCAGTTAGGAATGCACAAGTAAGACTGGCATATAGATGGTAGTATTAATTAGTATGAAAGCACTCCAGTAGGCATATTAGATGATATCTGTATTCAACTGGATGACTTTATTCATTAACAAGATGTTATTCTGGAAAAATATGTCCAAGAAGTCCTTGTATATCAGCTGTAAGAAGCATTTCATAGCACAAATGTTCCATTTCCAGTAATAGAGGTTATATCTAACTGCCAGAACACCAGCACTTACTGCTCTGTAGACACTCTGTTCACTGGGACACATTCAGTAAAAAAATTACAAGGTCATCTCTTCACTGTGTCAGTCCTGGTTTGCAGAAAATGTAGTGCCAGTAATGCTTTGTTTGCTAAGTCCTTTCATTCTGTGTAATAGGTAGATTGTTGCAGCTTTTATAAGCCATTTGCAATGGTACCACTGAACTTTTTTTAAAGAATGAGGTCTGATGCCAACTCATCTGTAATTTCCTCAGCCGGGACAGGTTGACATGTTTGTAAAATACTGTTACACAGAACTACCTGTTTCTGTTTTAAAAATAACCTTTCTAGAACAGAGAATAACTTCTGGGTTGGCTTTGTAAAGAACACAGCCTATGGGCCCTAATATCAGCTACTTTGGTACAAATGTCTAACACAGAGCATCACCCCCTCCTGCTGCAGCACACCACACCCGGGCAGCTGGAGGTGCCCCCTCGCCTGCAGTGTAGCAGGTTAAAAACTTACTCTCAAACTCATTGAACACTCATAAGGCTCATTAACTTCAGTTCCTGGTTTGTACACATGAAAAACCCAGTGTGAGACGCAAAGTCAGGAGGTGACCAAGCTTTGCTTTCCTTTGGTGTGACCTCGTTTTCTCATTCCGGTGAAGCTCATGCCACAGAGGGTAACTCAGTGCAGAGTTTATCGAGGTGACTATTTCCTCATAGAGTCGAAAGGGTGTTTAGTTACATCAACCATATTACTAGTGTGCCAACAAGGAAAATAAAATGTTTTAACTGTCCCCTCAAGATCCTCCTTCAGAAACAAGTGCAGTGCATTTTTTTAAGTCCAACTTTCCTTTTTTTTTTTTCTCTGCAGGCTAATTTAAAATATTGAGCAATGTTAGCAATCATGGTTAGGCACTCCCTCAGATGGTAAAATGACCATGTCCCAGAAAGCATACTCTGGCAGAAAACAGGCACACTACAAAAAGCAGAAGTGTATCAGAGCCAAGCACTCTTACTCAGCTTTACACAACTGAGAACTGTTTTGGATAGGATGGGGGATGTAGTTTTCTTGCCCAATGAATTTTCTGTGAAGTATCAAGCGCCTCCTAGCAGAGCACAAATACTGTGAAGAGAAAACAAACGTCATCATTTTATTACAAAACTATTTCACTTTCTTTTTTCTTAAAAGCAATCCTGATATGAAGTAAAACTTCACTGCTTTTTATGGTTATTTGCTTTAGGAACTGTAGCTGTCAAACATTTTTTTCCTCACTGTCAATATGCCCACTTGAACCTTGCTATATTCTACCACATTGCAGCTTTAATGCAGTAATTGATACAATATGGTAAAGCCACAAACCAAAATCACTCTGTCTGTAATGACATCTGTAATTTAGAAACTTAAGGAGGGGAAGCTTAAAACTGGCAAGCAACAGTTTCTGAAAACACCAAGAGGGGACTGCATGGGTACATTTTTACTCCATAACTGTGCAAATCTTGAGCCTTGCCCTGTCTGTAAGGCAAGGCACATAATCTTAGTGACACTGTTGTCAAAATATTTCTGAAGAATGTATTTGTTCAATGCATTAAAAGCTTTAACATGCTTGAACTGAATCAAGAATTACACGTCAGGGCACACAGAACTTCAACACTACTCCAGCACTGCATGGGGAAGCCCCAGGTAAAGCATTTGTGGTGGGGCAGTATCTGCATGGTCTAAGCAAACTGACATCTTACTTATGTACTACAAAAACATCTCTAAAAATAACATCATGGGGTCCATGGATTCTTCCTCCTGCCTTCTGGTCTTGCAAAACATTACAAGGCTGCTTCAGCACTCACATATAAACCAAACAAGACTTCAGGTTGTGCAACTTGTCCCACACAGGCAGCCTCATAGTGGAGTCCACATCAGGTTCTGTGTGACTCAAGACCCTCACCCATCCAACTGCCCTGTCAGTAAAGCTCTTATATTCCTTAGCCAAGTTTCTACAACCTCCAGCACCTTCAGCTGAAGTGTGGCTGAGTGGAATTTGGTTAAACAACTCTTTTTATGATGTAAAGGAACAATTACATTTTCTAGCTCATTTTCTTGAGTTGCAGCATCTCATCATAGCACGAGATGTTAATGCTAACAGAGTTTGCTCTATGACCTAAACAAGCAGATCTTACTCCAAACAGCCCCAAAACCACATGACACTGAGTGACTGCAGAAGCTCCTATTTGTACAACCAGCTAATGCTCGGGGTTAAGTATCACACTTATTGGCATAGTGCTGCACTTGAAAGCAAACACCACGTATCCTTTGCAAAGATATCATCTACCCATCTTTAGATCTAAATGCCCTACTTGCACAAACACAATCCATCATCTGGCTCTGAAATTCATCAATGTTTCAGCTGTATGAGCACAAAGCAAACACCCAACCTTCCACCTATGATACTCAACACCCCCTTGCCTTCTTTCCTTTGTTCTACATTAACAAGGGAGAACAAGTTCCTGTTTATCAAAGAAGGAAGGACCAAGCAATAGAAATGCTCATTCACATCTGCTGAAACTGTTGATTTTATGCTTGTTGTGACTAAATCATCTAAACTGAAACATCCTCACAAGCAGAATAATGACTAAATAAAAGAAGGTTTTTCCTTCACCTGTACACTAACTGGAATACCACGAGTCCATTTCCATCTTGTTCCAATGCAGATAATGGCAGAAAATGAGATGCTTACATTTAAGCCTTTTACTCAGAATTTCACCTAAAAATGTTTTTATTTACACTTCACATTCTCCCATATTTTGGTAGAATGCAGTTGCAATTGCCTCCTTCAACAACAGAATAATTTAGACTTTCAGCTTATGAGTTTTGGGGGGAAATACTCCTCTTACTTTTGAAGCCCACCTATATTTGGGAGGTCAAGTCTTAAAATAACTCATTTTAGACAGAATGATTCTACGGATACTAACCTTTGAAGCAAAACAGAAGACAAAATGGATATATGGAAACCAAAAAGTTGTGGTTTGCATTTAAAAAAGCATCACATACACAGCCCACCTCAAAATACCACTATTTAAAGATATTTAAAGAGACACACTTGTGATGCCAGCATTTCTAGTGGTTCTGAAGGCAGATCCACGCAAAATGGATCGCTTTTAGAGATTAAGTCCCTAAATATATATTTGGACAGCTAACTTAAGGAGTTAGTGCAGAGAGTCTGCAGGCTCCTTTTTAGGCCATGTTTTGTATCGTTTTAATCTTAGCCTAAAAATAAATATAAAATGAATGAATAATTTTGTAGTCTAAGTGTTTGCGAACTTATCACTCGGCAGTGTCACCTTCTGCGCAATCTTCTTCTCAGGGTGGCCAACCAGCCCAGGGAAGTAGTAACATCAGGGGAAAAGCCCTGGCCCATCCCCTTCCTTCAGGCATGTGCAGACCAGAAAGCAGCCCCAGCAACACAAAAACACAGGGAAAACACTCTGGAGGAATCTGTTTTTCTCTCTGCAGAGCACAGCAACTTTCCTAAACAGCCTAGAGAAAGGGCAGAAGTGCAGCCAAGAGACCAACTCTGCAGACTGAGCTGATCGCTTCGCTGCAGGAAGAGCTGTCTCTGGGTAAAAGAAGAATTTTATCTTCCATCAGCTCTAATAGGCATTGCCAAAAAAGGCACAAAAAGCATATGCCATGGTCTTAACAACTGACAAATACTGTCATATATTATCTCTGAATTTATATCTCCAAAAAGAATTGTGAAATCTTTGTGAACACTGATGAAGGGGAGGTGGGGTGGCATGGGCAGGGCACGAACAAGGTGGTTAATCTGCTTGAAAGACTACAGCAGAACTAGTTCACGGGAGTGCTTTAAGTTCACTTGGGCATTGCATCATACTTTCAGAGACACCAATGCACAAGGCT